GCAAGATTTTTTATGAAATTTTCCATAGTTTATTTTAATTTCTAATATTTCAATTTTCTACTTCTGTGTAACCCATTTTAATTAAATACTAATACAAACTGTCAAACAATAACAATGTTATCATGGCATTACTACCTGTCATTGTCACGACCTACCATATATAAGATTGTCCATGAGTAATTGGCCTCACACGGTCTAATTAGTGAGATTTACTTGAAATACCTATACGCATTTTGGACTATATCAATGTCCGATATGTCAAAATATATTACAACTAAATCTAAATCCTTACGTAATTGGAAAAAATGCAGAAATACCTGAAAGAGGTCTAACAATTACAAGATGTCTTATTTTCTTTTGTATTTCACATTTTTTTATAACTCTTAAAGCAAAAAAGTTAAAGGGGGGTCAAAATATAATGAATCACCCTGTACATTAAAAAAAAAAGAATCATCAAAGTAAACTAAAGCCCTACTCAACCGCTCAGTTATTTGTCGAGAAACGATTTGAACGCATGAACGAAACGAACTCCAGTCAAGAACTTAAGACGCGCGTGATTTTTAAATTTCTCGATTTCTCGACAGTTTTTTCTCGTCTCGACAAGAAACCCTAGCCAGGGATATGGCCACCTTAAGCGGAATTAATATTTTTCATCAGATTTAGTCAGTGGATAGCATAAAACAGAAATGAAATGGCATTCTCAACAGATAATGGACATAACGAGTTTCTCAAAATGCNAAGCACGCAAAGAATTAATGGCGGCCGACAGTCGTAAACAATAATAAACATCTAGCATAGAGCAAGTACTGCGCGCGCACCTTACCACATGTCTTTAGCCAATAGGCTGAGTTCTCAAAATATTTACAGTAGAACAAAACAAACCAAGACAATGCACTGTCTATCCTTTCTGAGGTCGTTGGTTTATATAGCTGTAGAAAGTTTATTTGTGATTTTATAAAAAAATATTTCAAGTAAAAGTTATTTATTTTGACTAAATCTAAAAAAAGGTCACAATGTGATTTTTTCGGAAAAGTAATATTCAAGCAGTAAAACGCTGTTAAATTTAACACACGTGTATATCTACAGCTATCATACGTATACTCTGTGTTAAACTTTGATGGCGTTTTAAAGCTAAAACATTGATTTTTCGAAAAAACACAAGAATAGTTTTTTTAGATTTCATTGAAATAAACTACTTTTATTTGAAACTTTTTTCATAAAACGACAAGTAAACTCCCCGCTACTTGCAGGCAGTTTTTGGGGGGGAAGGGGTGGATTTGGGGCTTTGTGCCCATTGAGACTTTTGATCTACATCTTAAGAACTATCAACTTGCGAAGTTTCAAAAAAATTGGCCGAAACCCACTTCCCATAAGAAAAGTGCGGGGTCTTTCGGCACACGTTTTGAAGCGCGTGCATAGTGAAATTATGTTTTGTTGTATCATTTTGGAGTCATTAAAGCAAAAATTAGCGATACGACATAAAACATCCATACATGGGTGTTTTGAAACAGATCCCGCCTGGTCTAATATTATTAGATTAAAATATCGCAGCGTATCTTCGACAGACGCGATCATAATCTCTTTATTTTGGAAGGCACGCGTCCGTGCAACATTAACAAACCCAATCGCCCCGTAAAACCCATTGAAAACCAATCGACTCTGCTCACCGCGCCCGTCCTTGTTACGGCGGGGCCGTGAATAGGCGCCGCGAGGCCCTAATGGCCCTCCAGCGGGGCCCATTATGCGTGATCCCGTGGACGGCTTCTTCTAATGGCCTGTGTGTCCACTTGACTCCTGTGTGCAGGCGCCCGGTCCATTGTCCTTCCCCGTTCGTTATCCTTCGCGGCGGGAGGATTTTCGTGACGGCGGAGATGCGCCCGCCTTTGTCCGGGTGAAGTTTTATGCCGGGACTAGATGTTTACGAATCGGGATTCCAACCAGAAGGACGCCGGGAAGTGTAAGCGATGCGGGTTTTCAAGGATGTTTGGAATTAGGGTTTCTGGTCGAGACTCCTCGAAGCGAGAATTCCGGGAAATGTGGCCTTACTCGAGACGAGAGAAAAGTGTCGAGAAATCGAGAAATTTAAAAATCACGCGCGTCTTAAGTTCTTGACTGGAGTTCATGCGTTCAATTCGTTTCTCGACAAATAACTGAGCGGTTAAAGTGGTTTCTCTACCAGCTCATGATTTATTTATTTTAAGTTTTTAAGGCTTTAGTTTACTTTGATGATTTTTTTTTTTTTAATGTACAGGGTGATTCACTATATTTTGACCCCCCTTTAACTTTTTTGTTTTAAGAGTTATAAAAAAATGTGAAATACAAAAGTTGCACGATTTTTTATGAAGTTTTCGAAAATGATAGTAGAAAAACAAATGAAGTTCAAACAAAATGGCCGCGGATGTTAACTTTGTTAATTTAAATGGAACACCCTGTATATTTTTACATATTTGGATAGAACGTTCCTTGTCGAGCATAGTCATATAGGGTTTGTTGGGTCCATCTCTAATAATAGGCGAGATAATATTAAAAAACGAAATGATGTTTTTTTATTAAGAAAATAAGACATCTTGTAATTGTTAGACCTCTTTCAGGCATTTCTGCCTTTTTTCCAATTACGTAAGGATTTAGATTTAGTTGTAATATATTTTGACATATCGGACATTGATATAGTCCAAAATGCGTATAGGTATTTTAAGTAAATCTCACTAATTAGACCGTGTGAGGCCAATTACTCATGGACAATCTTATATATGGTAGGTCGTGACAGTGACAGGTAGTAATGTCATGATAACATTGTTATTGTTTGACAGTTTGTATTAGTATTTAATTAAAATGGGTTACACAGAAGTAGAAAATTGAAATATTATTAGGAATTAAAATAAACTATGGAGAATATCTTAACTACTCTATCTTAATTCCTATAATATTTAAATTTTCTACTTCTGTGTAACCCATTTTAAATAAATAATAATACAAACTGTCAAACAATAACAATGTTGTCATAATATTACCTGTCACTGTCACGGCCTACCATATAACATTGTCCATGAGTAAATAAGCCCCTCACGGACTAATTAGTGCGATTTAGTTAAAATACTTATACCCATTTTGGACTATATCAATGTTCGATATGTCAAAATATATTGCAAATAAATCTAAATCCTTACGTAATTGGAAAAAAGGCAGAAATGCCCGAAAAACGTCCAACAATTACAAAATATTTTATTTTCTTAATAAAAAACGTTCTTTTCGTTTTTTAATATTATCTCGCTTATTGTTAGAGATGGACCCAACAAACCATATATGACTGTGCTCGACAGGGAACGTTCTATCCAAATGTGTAAAAATATACAGGGTGTTCCATTTAAATTAACAAAGTTAACATCCGCGGCCATTTTGTTTGAACTTCATTTGTTTTTCTACTATCATATTCGAAAATTTCATAAAAAATCGTGCAACTTTTGTATTTCACATTTTTTATAACTCTTAAAACAAAAAAGTTAAAGGGGGGGTTAAAATATAGTGAATCACCCTGTACCTAGTTATAAGTCTGTGTAGAATTTTTATTATAAACAGATACCTAATGTTGAAGTGATAAATTGATAGGAAGAACGCTTCTGTATCTTTAAATTAAAGCTTGTTTTTTTTAAGATTTCTTCGGTTAAATTCCTTATTTACTATTAATAATTATTATTGAGTGTTTAAAAAAAAAGTTATAGGTTTTTAAGAAGAAACTCAAAGTTTAATTTAGATTTGTTAGTAGAAGTAGAAACTTAAGTAAGTAATTAATAAAAATACTGAATAAGTAATAAATGTTAATGATGATTGTTAAGTATAATAGCATGTTTATATTTCGCATTGCAATACCAAAATTATGACTTTTTTAAGTTTTAGAAATTCCTCGAGAATTCGAGAATTCCCGGGAATTCCTACTCGAGAATTCTCGAGACCCGAGAAAAAAAAATAGGCCGAGAAATCAGAAACCCTATTTGGAATTGCAGACATTTTGTCGACGTTTCAAATATACAGGGTGTCCGTTAATTCTACTCTAAAAAATCTACAGGGTTGGCCAAAATTTACACACAAAGGTTCTCTGAAAGTTTGGACAAAATTCTACTGCCAAATGTTCCTGGGGAATTTTTTTAGGCAATTAAATTACCAACAATTTAAAGTACCTAAAATAATTTTTCACCTATTTGTTAACTGTGAAATAACGGCCGAACGCAGAAAAATCAGTTTTCGAAAATTGCGCATTATTATTGTAAAAAGCGATGGATGTTGATGTTTAATTATTAGACGTTAATTTTAGAGGTTAATATCGTAGATATAGGTTCTAACTGACCCAAAGAAACGTATCGGAAAAAAATTAGGTAATCCTTTACAAGTAACAAAGTATGACGTGCAAAACAGCGTTATAATCAAATTGTCTCAGATCAGGCAAAAGCCGCTCGCAATTTGCCACTAGTCCAATTAAATAAGCCTTTTAATCGAAATTTTGGTCATCTTGCCTGAATTTTTGATATGAGTTAGTTTGAGGTATATTATAACCATAAGTGGCAGTAATTTTTTTTCAACCCCCACTCACGGGGTGAAAAATGATAAAATAAAGGGGTTTTTCAAGATAACTTAAAAGGGGTAAGGGCTAGAAGAAACAATTTCTCATAAAAGTTGTAAAGCATACAATTCTACATAAAAATGGCCTCTTGGCTTCTTGTTGTACTATTAAAATTAACACGAGTTAGAGGGGCTAGAAGTTAAGGGAAGATTCCAGAAATTTAAAAAAATCATAAGCAGAAAAATGAACGAATTTTGTAATTTCTACTCTAAAAAATGTACCCTTTCTTTTTTTAATTTTTAATAAAAACGTTATAACAATTTCAAATTTTTTATCGTTAATTTTAATGATTTAACACTTATTAAATAATATTTTTTATGCAATTCGACTGATTATTTAAAATAATGAAAAGTTACCTTCGAAATTTTGTTTACGTTTGTTTTTTAGACATACAAATTTATTTACTTTTTTACCTTTTGAATTTTATTAAGCTCCTACGACATTGTCAGGACAAAGATAAAAAATCAGGTTTGCTTTGTTGCACTCATGGTACCGAAGTCGATATTTACGGGGTGAAATACACCCTCAAAGTTCGTCCCCCAAAACAGTTTTTTCTAAATATCTGGGGTTCTAATCAACATTTTGAAATGAAACGAAATGGAAATTACTTATTATAAAAAACAAATATTTGGAGGTTGCTACCCTTATTTTTCGTTTCAGAAAAACTATATTTTTTATTTATAAAAAATTCATATCTCAACTCAAAAAGAATTAAAAATATGATTTATATAAATAAATTGACAAAATTAAATTGACCTGTTTCGGGGTTTTCGTTAAAATCTATATTTAGGGGGTGAACAACAATTTTGAAATTGTTATAACTTTCTTATTAAAAATTAAAAAATATATCTATTTCTCTGAAAAGAAAGGACATTTTTTAGAGTAGATTGAAAAAAAAAATTACAAAATTCATTCATTTTTCTGCTTATGATTTTTTGTAAAAAATATTAGATGTTATGTTTTATTATGTTTTTTCAATATTTTCTATATCTTGTTGCCTTTTACGCAGACACGCCAACGGATTTTCGTTCCCGGCACGCTTCATCNTATCTTGAAAAACCCCTTTGTTTTATCTTTTTTCACCCTTGGCCGGGGGTTGAACAAAAAATTACTGTCACTTATTGTTATAATATACCTCAAACTAACTCATATCAAAAATTCAGGCAAGTTGACCAAAATTTCGATTTAAAGGCTTATTTAATTGAACTATACTGTAATAAAACGTCTACTTATAATCTTTTTTCTTTCAAACTCTTATTTGACTGGAATATTATAATTATTATAATACTCCATTATTGTTTCCTTCGTTGCTATATGTAGATTTGAAATAAAACGTATGTTGTTACTGTTTTTCATCAAAGATTATAAAAATTCCAAAAATTAAGACAAACAAAAATAGATAAATAAAAACATATCTTTTCATAAATACTCTTTATTGATAAAAATATTTCTAATACAATAAGTTAAAATAACACCTCGACGAACTAACAAAAAATAATTCAACAATTTAATCTACTAACTACAGTTATACATTCGTGATTGCATGGCATTTTCTTGACTAGATTAGAAAAGTAAAATTTACGATAATTTTCGTCTGTTTTGGACCACCCCTGATATAAAATTTCTAGACGCGCAATTAGTGCTAATTTTTGTAATTCCAAAATTGTTCTCATAACTGGCATCCGTGGACATAGGTGACATTGTGAAAAATCGCAGCTGCGGCGGTACTGAGGAAGCTACAGGGCGACTGCGCTCCATACCGCGCCATGCTGGACGGGGGGCAGCAGGGGGAGGGCTCCCCAGCACCTTTTCGAAGAGCACCGCCGTTCAGGAGTTCCTTTTCTACTGAAGCTTGGTGGCGAAGCTGCTCGAGGCGCAGCTGGTTCTGTCGCTTCCATTTAGTCCTGGAATTTAAAATTTTACCCGTTAAAGATGTTGTCAGTCTTGGAATATAATAATATTACCTTCTAAGACTAAAAATAGGAAATAAAACATAAATAACTAAAATGTTTGCAAAATAATTTTATTTAATAAACGAAAAAGGGCGAAGGGTCTTTAATTATCCTAAATGATCAACTCTTCCTCTTGAAAAGTTGTTTTTACCCAAATATTCATAAAAATATAAATAGGATATAGATTCAAAGATATTTTTTCGTTTGTACTAAGAACAACGACATTTGTATGATCTACAAATGTTTTTGCGAAATATTATTTTTATCCCTTCATTCATATGTACATTTTGAGAACCACTGTCCACATGTAACACAGTCAAGACCCTGTTTGTTGCCGAAATGATCTAGAGTTAAGAAAGCGCGGCTCTTAACAGGACCGTACTCAGCTCACTTTCCCTATGTTAATTCCAGTCCTTCAGACTAGTGCTAAACTTTATTTCCACTGTTTTATACTGTGTAGAAAACTGTATGAGGGATTTGTATTCCTACCATTATGAAAGTTGGATTAAAAGCCCTGAAAATAGTTAAAATAAGATTAACTTCTCCGATAGGATACCTGCTGTTTCCATTAAAAGATTGTGCAATTCTATTTCCTCTGCTTTTGTCAGTTATTTTAAAGTTATCTCTTCGATTTGCAAAATTATGAAACCAATCTAGGTTTTGCTATATTTATTGAAAATTATAGACCGATTGTGACCTTATGCAATTTTAGTAATAGGCCGTCAGCTCGCTGCAAAAAAACCGTATGATTTCTCCACGTATGCCCTTCAAGGTATCGTTAATTATGCACATGCTGACCAATAAAAAGGTACAATTAGCCGGTAACCGTAGAACCGGTAAAGGTAATTGTTAATTGCAAAAAAACGCTTTACAATTATATTTACGCCTATGCTGAGCATACTAAACGGTATTTTAGCAACAACAATTAATCGGAAAACGGTCGGGCAGAGTGGAACGAAAAGTCGGGTGACGCCCTTAAAACTGAAAATAAATACAGGGTAAATACGGCCCATTAGAATTATTTCAGAAACTACTTCAATTTGAATTTTGAAAATTTGGGATACCTTGTTTTCGGGCATGCCCTTCTCAACTAAAATAATGGCGTCCACGTATCACTTCCGGTTATACCGGAAGTCGCCATCAACTTGCTTATTTTAAATGGAACACCATATATATATATTATTGCAATTTTGGATTCTACGATTTATTTTCGGTGGACTTTTATGAAGTTTCCCTATTCCTAAAATTAACCGTTTTCTAGATATTTAATTTTTTTTCAAAAAAAAATGTGTATTTTATAGTAAGAAAGATAAAGCATCAATATTTATAGGGGGGATAGCTAGACCCCTAAGCTTCTCATCCATACTTTCAAAATGGCTTAATTGTATACAGTTTAGTTTAGTTAACTTCAAACCTTCATAAGTCGGCTTTTTTTAAATGGAACTGTATGTTTTTCTATATTCTGACACACAATTTTATATCAGGTAACGGTAAAAAAGCCGACTTATGAAAGTTTGAAGTTAACTAAACTCGGCATTAAATTTCTAGCACCCTGTATGCAATTAAGCCACTTTGAAAGCAGAGCTGGGTAATTACTTGTAATTTAAAAATAGTTACAATTACAAATTACTTTTTTTAAAAAAGGAACTAATTACAATTACAAAGTATATTATTTAAAAATGGAATTATATTAATTTAATTACAGTTACATGGAAAATGGATTTAGCAATTACTATTCTAATTACTTTTCTAATTACTTTTACGATAAAGTAAATTATAGTGACCAAACAGAGAAAAAGGAAAAAGTTAAGTTAAAAATTTAAATTAAAAGTGTTGTGTAATATTGCGTTTTATTATTTATTAGAATTGATACTAAAATGAAAAGATTATTCTTATTCATTTTCTAATATAGAATTTTTATATTTTTATTCCTAATCTAATAATTTAAACTAGTTCAGTTCATACTATAATTTTATATTATTGGTCAGGTAATTAATTCAACCCGATGCTCTTTTTTT